TAAAATTTTTTGGAAAAAGGGTATTCTTTGCCTGAGATAAGACTGCAGCAATGGCAATGTCAGATACATCCGTTTCCACTTCGAATGGTAGGGACTCATCAATGGCTTGAACTACTGAGTTTTCAATGTCCTGTTTGAGAGTATGGAAAGCGGCTTCTGCTTCCTTTGTCACAGGAAATGTGGTAGCACTCAATGGGCGGACTTTACTTGAATAGTTGTAGATCCATTGTGAGTAATAAGCAAAGAGACCAAGAGTTCTTCGGAGTGACTTTTTGTCTGAGGCATTGGAAGTTCCCGTAGAGGTCGTAGTCGTTCAGGGTCTGGGAATATTGAACCTCCTTCCACTACATAACCTAGGATGCTAAGCCTTTTAGTTGAAAAAGTGCACTTTTCCTCATTGTAACTGATATTTTCTTCTTGGCGGCTTCCAAAAACTTATCAAGGTTTGCATCATGTTCCTCCTGGGTCTTGCCACAAATGGTAACATTATCTAAATACGCGTAAGTTCCCATGAGTTGCTCTTCCTGAATGAGTGAATCCATAATTCGTTGGAAGCAGGCTACCCCATTGGTGACTCCAAAAGGGACTCTGGTAAACTGATACAGGCCATCACTAGCCTGAAACGCTGTGTATGGTTTATCTTCATTCCTTATAGGGACTTGATGATAGGCACTCTGTAGATCAATTGTGCTAAACACATAGTACTGAGCAGATTACGATGGGCTTAGAGAACACTTATCATCTGTTGACTGGGGTAACGAAGAGAGCTATCAATATGACAGTTTTCTGAACACAATACATGCTGCTCAAAGAACGTTTATCCCTTATAAGGAAATTAGATCAAATAGAAATGACCCAAAATGGATGAATAATAGGCTGAAAGATCTACTAGGGCATAAGAAAGGAATTTATAGGCGTATCAAAAGAGGCGAGGGTTATCTTATGAATCAGTATATTGACATTAAGAGGGACATTAAAAAGGGGATAAGAAAAGCTAAAAGGACTATGAAATTAAAGTGCTAGGGATTCTAAAACTAACCCAAAAAGTTTTTTCCAGGTCTATAGAACAAAAGTCAGAGATAAGATAGGTCCCCTTAAAAATAACTATGGGCATCTTACTGATAAAGAGAATGAAATGTGCTCGATTTTAAATAATTATTTTCTCTCGGTTTTTACACAGGAAACACTAATAATATTCCGGTAATTAATTTTTATAGTGGATCAGAAGAAGATAAATTATGTAACATCACTGTCACTAGTGAAATGGTTGTGAAGCAGATAGACAGACTGAAGCAAAATAAGTCACCGGGTCCTGATGAGGTTTTTTTCAAGGGTTCTAAAGGAATGCAAAATGGAAGTCTGTGAACCTTAACTAATATTTTTAATTTATCTCTTCAAACCAGGTGTAGTGTCGATATGTGGAAGATGGCTAATGTAATTCCTATTTTTAAAACAGGGGACAAGTCGTTACCGTCAAATTACCGCCCAATAAGCCTGACCTCAATTGTAGGCAAATTACTAGAGTCAATTATAGCTGAGATTATAAGAAGCCATCTCGATAAGCATAGCTGATTAATGATACTCAGCATGGATTCACAAGAGGCCGGTCTTGTCTAACTAATTTATTAACTTTCTTCAGTAAAGCTTTTGAGGTTGTTGACCACGATAAAGAATTTGATATTGTTTACTTAGATTTTAGTAAGGCATTTGATAGAGTTCCGCACCAAAGACTGTTGAAGAAAGTAGCAGCTCATGGCATTGGGGGAAGGTGCTCTCGTGGATCGAATCATGGCTCACAGATAGGAAGCAGAGAGTGTCCATAAATGGGGTTAAATCCGAGTGGGGATCAGTAACAAGTGGCGTTCCACAGGGATCAGTCTTGGGCCCGTTGTTGTTTATAATATATATCAATGATCTTGATGAAGGAATTACTAGTGAATGAGCAAATTCGCCGATGACAACGAAGATAGGTAGGATAATTGATTCAAACGTAGATGTTATGGAACTTCAGGAGGATTTAGACAAACTCTACTCCGTGGCAGATGCAGTTCAATGTAGATAAATGCAAGGTTCTGAAGCTCGGGAGTGTCCATAACCCTAGCACTTATAAGTTAAATAATGTAGAACTTAACCATACAGATTGCGAAAAGGACTTGGGGGTTATGGTAAGCAGCAACCTTAAACCAAGACAGCAATGCCTAAGCGTACGTAATAAGGCAAATAGATTACTGGGATTTATATCAAGAAGTGTAAGCAACAGAAGTCCAGAGGTCATACTGCAGCTTTATACATCATTAGTAAGGCCTCACCTAGATTATGCAGCTCAATTCTGGTCTCCATATTACAGAATGGACATAAATTCGTTAGAAAACATTCAGCGTAGGATGACTAAATTAATACATAGCATTAGAAATCTTCCTTATGAAGAAAGATTGAAGACTCTTAAGTTACATTCACTTGTTAGACGAAGAATGAGGGAGACCTGATCGAAGTGTATAAGTGGAAGATAGGTATTAATAAAGGGGATATTAACAAGGTCTTGAGGATATCTCTCCAAGAGAGAACCCGCAGTAATGGATTTAAATTAGATAAGTTTAGATTTAGAAAGGACATAGGAAAGTATTGGTTTGGAAATAGGGTAGTAGATGAGTGGAACAGTCTACCTAGTTGGGTTATTGAGGCTAGGACTTTGGGTAGTTTCAAATTTAGGTTGGATAAATACATGAGTGGGATGGGTTGGATTTGAGTGAGACTTGCACATCAGAGCTTATTTCTTGGTTAGCATTGAAAATTGGGTTGGTCAAATGTTTGTTAGTGGGATGAATTGTAAAGGACCTGCCAAGTATGGGCCAACAGGCCTGCTGCAGTGTTCCTCCTTTCTTATGTTCTTATGTATCGTCAATTTGAGGTAGAGGGTACCCATCAAGAAGTGTAAATTTGTTGATTGTCTCAGAGTAATCGATAGCCAGTCTCCGTTTCCTATAACCATCTTTAACAACAACAACCTGTGCACGCCAAGGGGAATCACTCGGTTCTATAATACCCTCCTTCAGCAGCCTCTGAGTTTCTTTCTCAATGAACATCCGATCCTCATAAGAATAGCGGCGTGACTTAGCTGATATAGGATGGCAATCCGCGGTAAGATTTGCAAACAGCTTTGGTGGGTCTACCCTTAAAGTGCTAAGTCCACAGACAACAAGAGGAGGCAGTTCACCTCCATATGTTAAGGTGACACTATCATGCAGCTTCTGAAAGTCCTGACCAAGGATAACATCAGAGCACAGTTGTGGCAGAATAGCTAAATGTACATCTTGATAATCCTTTCCATTAACTCTGAGATTTACCTTACAAAACCCTAAGGTCTGAATAGAGAGAGATGTTGATGCCATGGAAACGGTACCTGATGAGTGATGTACAGTCAAGGAGTGGCGTTTAACTAAGTCAAGGTTGATGAAGCTCTCTGAGCTGCCACTATCAATAAGACCATCTACTTCTGTTCCTTTGATGAATACTTTCACAACTGCCTTTGACAGTGAATTTGGAGTAGCCGCAGAAGTCACTGTTGCTAGAGTCGCATGATCACTGGAATGTGTGGAGGCACTAGCTCTTGTTGATGCATTAGCACGACATACTTTAGCAAAGTGACCTTTCTTGTGGCATTTATGGCACATTGCTTCACGAGCAGGACACTTTGGACGTGGATGTCTTGAAAACCACAAAAGAAACACACCGTACCTGCTGCTGCTGTCACTGAGGCAGGTTCCACAGTAACTTCATTGCAAGAGTCTTGGTCAGGAATTGCAGCACTTACCACTCGAGAAGGCTGAGTGGTACTGTATACTTCAGAATTCTTCTGGGCTGAATCTAGAGCCCTTGCCTGGTCAAAGGCAGCGGCTACGTCGAGAGTTTTATTCTCCAATAAACGCTGCCTTATTATTGGTGATTGCAGGCCACTGATAAACGCATCCCTGATGGACTCTTCACAATACTGAGCAGCTGTCACTGCTTGGAAGTGACAGTCCTTACCTAAAATTTTCAGTGCTTGAAAGTATTCCTCTAAGGACTCATCAATCTGCTGGTGGCGAGTTGCAAGGCGATAGCGTGCAAAGATTTCATTTGTAGGTTTAATATACTGAGACTTGAGGGTTTTGATAGCATCTTCGTAGGTATTACACTCAGAAATAGCCTCATATATCTTAGGTGACACAAAATTGATGAGCAGACTTAGTTTATCTAGATCTTCTTTAGGAAGGGCTCCCAAGAAGTTTTCGAAAGTCTTAAACCAGTGCTTTCATTCCTGAGCAGCCGTTGATAAGCTGGGGTCACAGTCTAGCCTCTCAGGTTTCAGTAAACGCTCCATGTTGTGATGTAGTCTAGCTCAGGATCACCACCAGGTAGCCCAGGATTCTATGTTCAATAAATTGTTGTGATAGAAACACAGGCCTTATCTCTAGGCTTTATTGAACATAGAATCTTCATAGTACTTCTGCAACAACAAAATATAATGACTAGTACATCTAATAATGGCTTCTACAGGGATGGTGATGTCTTGCATATGTCAAGAGAAAAGTTATAACTACAGGCCACATATTTAAACTCACCATGTAATCTGCATCACTGATAAATGGATATAGTAGGAGAGAATCACACACCATGTGTTGGCGCCCATGACACACACCAAACTGTTGTTGTTGTTAAGGGCCCCGAGAGGTGGTGCAGTATTATCCTGCTGCTGCTCCCCACAGGACCAGTATCACTACAGGAGGACACAGTGCTGTGACCTACATCTTGGTCTATGTCAGATATGAAGATGAGGAAAAGCATGAGAGCGAGTACTGTGCCTTGTGGCACAGAGCTTTACACGGTAGCCGCCTCTGACTTTACTCTGTTCACTATTACTCTTTGTGTTTTATTTGTTAGGAAGTGTTACATCCATCTACCCGCTTTTCCTGTTATTCCTTTATGACGCATTTTGTGTGCTATTGCACCATGATCACACTTGTCGAAGGCTTTCGCAAAGTCTGTGTATATTACATCTGCATTTTGTTTGTCCTTCAATGAATCCAAAATCATGTCACAGTGGTCCAGTAGTTGTAAGAGGCAGTAGTGACCAGCTCTAAACCCATGTTGCCCTGGGTTGTGAAATTGTTGGGTGCTCAGGTGGTTGGTGATCTTGCTTCTAAGAACACTACATGACACTAGAAACACTGTTCCAACATTATATGGAACAAGAAACATTGTTCCACACTGTTCCAACACTGTGTGAATCTAGAAACATGTTCCAGTACTATATGATACTAGAAACCCTGTTCCAACACTATATGACACTAGAAATACTGTTCGGGGGCCTAAGACTGTTAAACTTCCTCCCAACATACATAAGGGGGATTACCAATAGACCCCTGGCTGTCTTTAAGGGCTGGACAGACACCTGAAGTCAGTACCTCACCAGCCGGATTGTGGCTCATACGTTGGTTTGCATGCTGCCAGCAGTAACAGCCTGGTTGATCGGGTTTGAGCCACCTCAAGGCCTGGTCATGGACCAGGCCTCGGGCCGTTGACCCTCGGATCACCCTTAAGATATATGATACTAAAAACACTGTTCCAGCGTTATATGACACCAGAAACACTGTGCAGCCTTTATACCGGTTAAGGTCTCTTAATCCAAGAAATTGGAGGTACTTTTCCATTCCTTGGATCAAACTACACACACCTATGTCTGCTATTTTTAGTGATTGTGGAAGAAAAAAATTGTTGTCTGTGCATGAAACAATTTAGAATCATCCTTTCAAATGATTTACACAAGCAGCCAGTAGGAGATATTGGACGAAATGAGTTTTGGTCATGATTGTGACCAGATCTAGTTCATTACCTTTGTAACTAGTTCAGCTATCATAACTTTGGGGTTCAGTCCCTGGACCCATTATGAACCTCTGTAATCTTTTGACTGCCGCCACATGGGTATGGGGTGCATAATAAACATATTAAACGAATTTATTGGACTTTGGAATGGGAATGATGAAGTTGTTGGTCCAAGATTAAGGAAACTCCCCAGTTACATAGTTCATGTTGTATAATTTTAGTGAAGGATTACCTGGTACTCGGTATTACATTCTGAGTATGTTGTAAGTAATACCATGTAAGAATTAGGATTAGTCTGCCCGAAATGCTTAGGCATGCTACCTGGAGTTTACCTGGAGAGGGTTTCGGGGGTCAACGCCCCCGCGGCCCGGTCTGAGACCAGGCCTCGTGGTGGATCAGGGTCTGATCAACCAGGCTGTTACTGCTGGCCGCACGCAAGCTGACGTACAAACCACAGCCTGGTTGGTTAGGTACTGACTTTAGGTGCCTGTCCAGTGCCTTCTTCAAGACAGCCAGGGGTCTATTGGTAATCCCCCTTAAGTATGCTGAGAGGCAATGGAACAGTCTTGGACCCCGGACACTTATTGTGTTGTCTTTCAGTGTACTCGTGGCGCCCCTGCTTTTCATCTGGGGAATGTTGCATCTCCTGCCGAGTCTTTTAGTTTCATAGGGAGTGATTTTCGTGTGCAGGTTTGGTACCAATCCTTCCAGGACCTTCCAAGTGTATATTATCATGTCTCTCTCTCGCCTGCGTTCCAGGAAATACAGATCAAGGACCTTCAACCGTTCTCAGTAGTTTAGGTGCCTTGTCGTACTTATGTGTGCCGTGAAAGTTCTTTGTACACTCTCCAGGTCTGCAATGTCGCCAGCCTTGACGGCGGCCGTTAGTGTACAGCAGTATTCCAGCCTAGAGAGCATATGCGATTTCAAGAGAATCATCATGGGCTTGGCGTCCCTAGTTTTGAAGGTTCTCATTATCCATCCTATCATTTTCCTAGCGGATGAGGTATACACATTGTTGTAGTCTTTGAAGGTGAGATCCTCTGACATTATCACTCCCAGGTCCTTCACATTACTTTTCCACTCTATTGTATGGTTAGAATTTGTCGTATACCTGGAGTTTACCTGGAGAGAGTTCCGGGAGTCAACGCCCCCGAGGCCCGGTCTGTGACCAGACCTCATGGTGGATCAGAGCCTAATCAACCAGGCTGTTACTGCTGGCTGCACGCAATCCAACGTACGAGCCACAGCCCGGCTGGTCAGGTACCGACTTTAGGTGCTTGTCCAGTGCCTACTTGAAGACAACCAGGGGTCTATTGGTAATCCCCCCAAATTTCGTCAAGTTTCCCATATCTGAGTAGTTGAAATTTCTCCTCGTTGAACTTCATATTGTTTTGAGTGACCCATTCGAAGATTTGGTTGATGTCCGCTTGGAGTCTTGCAGTGTCTTCGATGGAGGTCACTGCCATGATAATCCGGGTGTCATCCGCAAAGGAAGTCACGGAGCTATGGCTTACATCTCTGTCTACATCAGAAATGAGGATGAGGAATAGAATGAGAGCGAGTACTGTGCCTTGTGGAACAGAGCGTTTTACCATGGCTGCCTCAGACTTTACTCTGTTTACTATTAATCTTTGTAATAGTAGATCCATCTACCAACTTTTCCCGTTATTCCTTTATCACGCATTTTGTGTGCTATTACACCATGGTCACACTTGTTGAAAACTTGCAAAGTCTGTATATACTACATCGGTATTTTGTTTATCCTCTACAGCATCCAGGACTTTGTTATAGTGGTCCAGTAGCTGGGACAGGCAGGAGCGACCTGTTCTAAACCCGTGTTGCCCTAGGTCGTGTAACTGATGGGTATCTAGGTGGTTGGCGATCTTGCTTCTTAGAACCCTCTCAAAGATTTTTATGATATAGGATGTTAGTGCTATTGGTCTGTAGTTCTTTGCAATTGCTTTACTGCCACCTTTGTGGAGTGGGACTATGTCTGTTGTTGTTAGTGTGTGTGGGATGACCCATGTGTCCATGCTGCCTCTCCATAAAATGCTGAAGGCACGCGACATGGGCTTATTGCAATTCTTGATGAACACGGAGTTCCACGAGTCTGGGCCTGGGGCAGAGTGCATGGGCATGTCATTTTGGAGATGACTAAATTTTGGGTTTCGTTCATAAAGAATTCATTTGGATTGTCGACCCTTAGTCTGGGCAGTGGCTCGCTGAACACTGAGTCGTATTGGGACTTTAGTATCTCACTCATTTCTTAGCTGTCGTCTGTGTATGTCCCATCCCGCCTAAGCAGGGGCCCAATACTGGATGTTGTTTTCCCCTTAGATTTGGCATAAGAGAAGAAGTATTTTTTTTTTCAATTTCCTTTATGACTTTTAGTTCTTCCTGTGATTCTTGTCTCCTGTAAGATTCCTTCAGCTTAAGTTCGATATTTGCAATTTCATTGACTAGTGCCTCCCTTCGTATTTCAGATATATTGACCCCACTCAGCAGCTCTGTGACTTCGCCTTCGTCTGTATAGGGAAAGTCTCTTTCTAGTTTACATCTTCTCTTTCTTTTTCTTAATGAAATGTGTCTTGAGCAGATCTCAAGAACCACAGAATTAATTTTTTCAAGGCAAATGTTCGGATCAGTGTTGTTTAGGATATCTTCCCAGCTTGTTTCATTTAGGACATGGTTTACTTGATCCCATTGTATGTTTTTGCCATTGAAATTGAATTTCGTGAAGAAACCTTCATGACTGCTCACATTTTGCTGGTCAGGAGCCCTGTGCATACATGTCTGTACCTCTGTTATGTTGTGATCTGAGTGTATTGTCTTTGATACTGTTATATTACGTATCAGATCGTCATTGTTGGTGAAGATGAGGTCCAGCGTATTTTCTAGTCTTGTAAGCTCTACTATTTGCTGGTTTAAGGTGAATTTGGTGCAGAGATTTAATAGTTCGTGTGTGTGTGAATTTTCATCTGAGCTGCCTCCTGGGGTGATCTCTGCTAAAACATTGTTTGCTATACTCTTCGATTTTAGGTGTCTCAGGTTGAAATCTTCTAGCAGTGAGATGTTTAGGGCAGGAGTTGGGAGATTTTCCAGACAGTGGTCAATTTTCCCAAGCTACTCCTGGAACTGCTGGGAAGTTGCATCTGGAGGCTTGTATACAACCACAATGACAAGGTTTTGGTTTTCAGTCTTTACCGCCAAAACTTCAACTACATCATTTGAGGTGTTTAGTAGTTCTGTGCAAATGAGCGACTCTGTGACAACCTTACAATCCTTGCAATCTACATTTTAAAATATGTAAACCACACATTGTAAGCTTCGCAAGGAAATTAACATCTATTTTATTTTATTTTATTTTATTTATCCTGGGGCCCCACTCTGCTCCAGGCTCTGACTCATGGAACTCGGTGTTCATCAAGAACTACAAGAAGCTCCTGTCACGTGCCTGCAGCACGCTATGGAGAGAGAGCATGGACACAGGGGTCATCCCACACTCACTAAAAACAACATAGCCCCACTCCACAAAGGTGGCAGTAAAGCAATTGCAAACAACTACAGACCGATAACACTAACATCCCATATCATAAAAAATTCTGAAAGGGTTCTAAGAAGCAAGATCGCCAACCACCTAGATACCCATCAGTTACAGAACCCAGGACAACACGGGTTTAGAGCAGGTCACTCTTACCTGTCCCAGCTACTTGACCACTATGACAAGGTCCTGGATGCTGAATAGGATAAACAAAATGCAGATGTAGAATACACAGACTTTGCAAAAGCCGTCGACAAGTGTGACCATGGTGTAACAGAGTACAAAATGCTTGATAAAGGATTAACAGGAAAAATTGGTAGATGGATCTATAACTTCCTGACAAATAGAACAAAG